GCTGGATTCATTCCATATGGCTATAGAGCAGAAAGGGAGAAGACAGGCATGGCTCTTTTATCATCTCTAATGAGAGGCCAATCCCCCCACCCAATCACTGTATCTATTCTATCAGCTTTAGAGCAGCAGGAGGTAAGTGAGACAAAGTTATTCCATTGCCTGGTCCAGCTGTGTAACTTTTTTTAGCTTTCCTATCATCAGGCATCTGATAAAATAGGATGTAGTCCACAAAAACATATGCCAGATAAAACATAAATAAAAAGGTGCTACATGTTTCTTTTGGTTTTGGTACAATAGACTGACACAGCTCCCTCCACCCCCAAATTATTTTGAGTTTCAAGCCTGAAGGCATGGAGTGTCTTGATAGGGATCTTTGTAAGTTGCTTTGGGAACTCAACAGTAGGGTGGTAATGTATTAGTTAATTAACCTCCCTTTTTATTAAGCATCTTGGTGGTTGACCTTAATTAATGTACTTCCAAATGTGTGCTTACATTTAAAAATGAAAATGTGACAGGTCTTCTTAGTTACCTTGTGTGTCCATGGTTGGTTTGGACTTATTGGATTTTAGAGAGCTAATGTGGTGTGGTAAATAAATTGATGGAGTAGCATTGAGAAGACCTGGGTTCAACTCCCTGCTTGGCCATGGAAACTCACTAGGGGATGGCAATGCTAAAGGTATCCCTTAAATATCTTACATAAAACCCTGTTAGGGTCTCTATAGGTTGAATGTGACTTGATGTTAAATGACAGAAGATTTTTAACAGACCTTCTGTAAAAAAAAAACCAAAAAGATTATATTTTTTTAAAAGAGCATACTGTTTACAGTAAATGTCAAACATCCAGAATGTATAAACTAAAATGTAAATAATAACAGTAACAATGCATACTATTATAGCTATTCTGAATTCTGTATATGGAATTACTAGGTATGCAGTTTTCAGATGTTTTTCACTACAGAATTAACCAGAAGTTTCCCCAGCCAATACTTTGCTAGCTGTAGCCAAAAAAAATCTGAGTTCTCAAAGGAGTTTCAGCTCACACATATGTGGCCCAGCAAGTCTCACTCTGCAGCAACAACTGTTAGCCTGAAGAGGAAGAAAGTGGGTATGTCTGACCTAAGCTCCATGGGAGCTGCAAGGGATTAGGGGAGTGGTGTGTTTCTTTGAGGCACCCCTGTACAGAGCCTATTGAGAGACAACCAGTCTCCTAATCTCTTGCATCTCCCATGGATCTTAGCTAGTCCCAGAGTGTCCTAAGAAGAAAGTAGTGTCCTGGGGAAGAAGAAAGTGCAAAGATTAAGAGAGACTTTCAAGACATAGTCCCTTGTTTCTTGCAACATACCCAAAATATGTGGGTGAATGAGAACTGCAGTAGCCCCATGTACCTGCTGCTCTAGCTGGCGTGAGACCAACATGGTTTGTCTGGTGTAGTTTCTCCTCCACTGACTCTCCTTATGCAAGTTCCATGAACACTGACATGAACATGGCTGGGGAGCTCAGTGAGTTAGATATCTAGCTGCAGAGCCAGCAGTTGGGAGTTAAATTCCCCACTCTTCCTCCCAAGAGAAAAGCCAATCTGTATAGCCTTGGGCAAGCTGCACAATTCCGGGGTGACCCCAAAAGGAAAGAGCAAGTGCTAATGTAGAAAACCGTGGAAAGGGTTGCCATAAGGCAGAATTGGCTTGACAATGCATACTTAATTTAAAGAATGCTGTTCACGTACTCTTTAATCAATTTCTCTTTGTAAAGGTATTTGTGTAATATAATAGGGTAGGGTGTTACACTGCCATTTGAATCCACCTTAAAAAAATTCTCTTTGCCATTTAATTATAAAAAAATAAAGCATATAAATGACTTTTTTGTGGTTTTTAATGGATTTTGTATCACTTAGTCTTTGAAAATTACTTTTTAAAATAGGGCTTCCACCTAAGGAATCTTGAGTTGGAGATGATGGTGGATGTGGATAAATTGTAGTCATAGGCCCAATCTGAGTGTTGCACTGCTGCCTGTGTGCTGGCTAAAGAGATCTTTTTCCCTCTCCTTCCCCCCCCCCGCACCAGGGACGTGGTGGCGCTGCGGGCTAAACCGCAGAAGCCTGTGCTGCAGGGTCAGAAGCCCAAGCAGTCGTAAGATCGAATCCACGTGATGGAGTGAGTTCCCATCGCTTGTCCCAGCTCCCGCCAACCTAGTGGTTCGAAAGCATGCAAATGCAAGTATATAAATATGGACCACCTCTGTGGGAAGGTAACAGCGTTCCGTGTCTAAGCCGCACTGGCCATGTGACCATGGAAGATTGTCTTCGGACAAAACGCTGGCTCTATGGCCTGGAAACGGGGATGAGCACTGCCCCCTAGAGTCGAACACGACTGGACAAAAATTGCCAAGGGGAACCTTTACCTTTACCTTCCCCCCCACTTCACACTACCCCAGGACCTGGTGATTATGATGGCGATTCGTGATGGTTCATGGCTATCCACAAACCACCATGAATAATGGTTTAGAGTGGTTGAAGCCCATCTCTGCCCCCCCTCCCACTGCTGCCTGGCCTGCCTGCCACCACCATCATCTCAGCCTCCCTGGGCAGACCAGAGAGGTAGTGGCAGCTGTGGAGGTGACCCAGAGGAGCTGAAGATGTGCCTACTAGCTAGCTGGGCAGCAGGTGCATGCTCTGAAGCAGTGGCCCAGTCTCCTTGCCAGGGCTCTGCTACTGAGGATGGCACCCAGAAGTCAGGGCATCTTTGGCAGCAGCAGGTAGGCTGAGGCAACAGGGTAGTGAGAAGTGGGCAATCCCGGTTTGCCGAAGCAAACAAAAAGCCGAAAGGGAAAAAAGTTTGGCATTTTATTTTGCTTTGGCAAAATTGGATCCCCAAATTGGGTCAGGAAATGAACGACAAACCTGCCCAGTTCATTGGTGTGTGTTTTATTTTTTGGTTTGGTTTGGTTTGGGGTTTTTTGGGTTCATTTTGTGCCCATCTCTAATCAGGGTTTTGGCTATGTGTGGATGAAGAAATCTTTGCATTATTGAAGAAAATATTCTTCAGTGCTAGTTATTGGCTCTAAATATTGTGCTATGTAGGCTCATTTTTAATTGTGAAGTAAAAGGAGTCATCTCAAGTTAAAATAAATGGAAGATGACACATTTGTGAAGAGCCTTTAAATACTTGCAAATGGTTTTCTGAATGGCCAAAATAACATTGCTTCAATTGTAAAACTTCTCTCTATTGTATCTAAAAAAAACAGGTTGTGTGAATTAAAAGGTTTTGAATTCTGTTTAAATTGAAAGGCTAAAAAAGTGAAACAAGACCTATACACAATCTATGAACAGACTGAAGTATATATTGCAAGAATTGTAGTTCAACTACAATTCAAATTCTTGGGTTAGGGACAAAACTTCATTTTGTGCACAAATACACACAAAAGCTGCCTATCGTTCCTTTCAGAAATTGGAGAATCAACAAGGTGGGGCAGGAGTACTTAAACTTTCCCCTGTTTGGTGTTTCCCATTTGAAGATTGGTCACAATTGAACAGATCTTGGAAGAAACTCATTATAGGTGACTTAGTAATAGTGACAAGATATCTTTTGAGGGTTACATGTAATGTAATGTAATGAAAAACTCACAGTAAACGTGGTGTAACAAAACTGAATTGCTAGTGTAGTTGCAGCCAAAGTTAATTTGTAGGTGTAAGTAGTAATGGTTTCTTCTTACTGTCTACACTCCACAGGTTTAAAGGGCATTTAGAAAGGCATTTTTACAGGATTTTTTAAGGTGTCATTCTCTTATAAATCCTAAGTGGTAAGGGAACCATTTTTTGGTTTTAACTCTTGTATTTTTGTAAATAGAGTAGGACCTCCGTATCCGCTGGGGATTGGTTTCAAGCCCCGCGTGGATACTGAAAACTTTGGAAAATAGTTAACATTATAAATATAGCATGGTAAAAGGGGGAAAAACTGGAAAAATGATTTTCACGTTCATTACTGTCTTAGAACAGAGCATGCCACTAGAGGGTGCCAGTGACCATGTTATGTTCACTTACAGTTATTCATAGCACAATCTCTGGTTCCCTCTAATGGCCAGTTCTGTTAATACATGTGAAAATAGTTTGATATTTTTCTGGATTTTTAAAATTTTAATATTTTTAATATTTTCAGACTGTGGATAAGTGAATTGGGTCCTATTGTATTTACAGTTTGTAATGTCTGAATAGGCCAGTAGATGGAACAGAGACAATTTCCCTGTATTTTTCTGACCTGCTGGTAATGACAATGCAAAGCAATACTGCATAACATGAGAAATTGCTTGGATAGTCTTGACTGCCAAGAGGTAATGAGTAACATAACAAGTTCCCTTAAAAATATATTCCAAACTGTATTCCAAACTTTCTCTATATATCTCTCACACTCTCACACACCCCAAAACAAAATATTATTTGCCTCTACATTAGTTTCCAGTACTCTTATTATACAAAGCCTGTTTTTTTGTGGTCAGCAATTCTTTTCAATTATGGGATTTAACTAAAAAGTAATAGCAAGCTTCCATGTGTAGACTACTGTCCAGCTTCTCTAAGGGCAGGGCATGCTGGGTCCATGTGTGGTGTTCTAGAAAGCAAAGAAAAGAGAGGAGCAAAAGTGAAAGATAATAAAGAATGGATTGTCTAAATCAGGGTTGTTGGGTTTTTTTGAGTTTTTTTGCATTTGTTCCAACTAATGTCACCATCGCATTGAACATTCTTCCTGTGGGCATATTCACTTAATCAGTTTAAAACCAAGACAGGAATCAAAAGTGGGAGAAGAGAGTTAATTCTTCCTGTGGCATACTGGCCCCTCTACCTCATTATATAAAGCCGGTACAACTTTTTCTGTCAAACATTTAAATCATGACGTCTGTTTATTGTTATTAATATCTTTAAAATGTTGAGCATGGGCTATTTCTTTTTGTCATCTAGTCTTCTGAAGTTGGCTTATTTACTAATGTCTAGCCCCTTCTCCTTTGTTTTTCAGATCAGCAAAAATGGGAAGCACTGGATTCTGGTTTGCTCCTAGACATATCAGTGGAACTGGTTAAGACCAAAATCTGAAGGTTTTTCTTCGTTACCCATCACCAGGTGTGCACTGAACAGAGGCTACCATAAATCTATTTTGAGTATGAGCACCTTTTAAAATGGTATAAAACATATAAAAGTATTGTGTGTGTTTTTGTAATATAGTTCTAAATAGTCCTTGATACTGTTATCATTCATCCTGTAGTTGTGAAAGAACCATTGTGAATAATGATATACTGAAGCTGGAAATGAGCATTGTTACTCAAATTTTTTTCAGCTGGTCTTTGAGAAGTGTAATATTTGAGCATCAATGTTAAAATACTGTCTGCATTGCTCAGCCTGTACATCCACACTTGAGTTAGCTATACTTGATATCTAAAAATTATAAATTAAGGAGTAAATTTAATTACTTGGATATTTATCATAGGAATAGCAGAACAGAATTCAAACAGCTGGGCTCCAAAGGGCATGTGCACTATTTTACATATATAATAGGAAATTTCCACTCTCCTGCAGCAGCTTCTTGCATCCTCTTCCATTTTGTCCATCCTCCCTCTGTTGCTGAAAGTTAGGGCACTGTCTGCAATACCACCTTGGCACAAGGTGTCTATAAAGCAAGATCAATTGCCATCCCATGATTTTTGTCCATGCACAGATCTCTTTGCAGCCTAAACTATTTTATATTTCAAAAGGACAAATCTACATTTAATTTATTTGTAAATTAATGACTATTTTCTAGTGTACTCTAAAGATCTTGTGAAATCTTCGTGTCTGTTGAAACATGCCTTGGTTTTTTGAAACCAGCAGTTTGCTTCAATCTGTTTGAATTTTGAATCTCCTATTCGAATAGAATTATTGGATATGGCCTGTAGTTTTCCCTGGATTTCACGCCCCTAAATTAAAATTCTTCTTTGATCATTAGAAAGCAATATCTTAACTATAGACAGTTGCATGTTAAAAAGAGAGTCTAAACCACAATGAATTAGATCCAGGCATGTTCATTTGTAAATAGAAAGTTCCTGTTCACAGTGGGAATTAAGCTCTTGCTACCGTGTGGAATCTCAAAGATTTCATACTGTAGCAAGCCACTGATCATTACTGATTTTCCCTGCGGCACTACTTCCCACACTGTTCTGGAGTGTACTTCCAGTCTCCATTGCTTTTCAGGGGTCATAGGGCTGCAGTGAAATTGGAAATTGCTGCCTCTTCTTTCTTGTGGTGTCAGTGAAACTCAGCTGAATGCAAGCTTGGATCTAAATTATTGTGAACTCTAACGAGGGGTGGTAAAATAGGAGTGTTCAACTTGTTGCTGTCAACTTTTCCCCCTTCCTTTGGGCATTGCACTCTGCTTTTTGTGTTCTAAAGCTTATGTTGGTCTGCTTTTGTCTCTAGTTAATCCCTGAAGATAATTTCCATAGTTTTACCTGTATTGGCAGTATCCTCGTACAGAGTTTGGCCAGAATAATGAGAGTGGCATCATTGGCAGTAACAGATTGCCACTAATTAAAGAGTTCCTTTTTCAGTTTCAGGATTCACACAATTTTTTCTTAGGGTGGTTGTTGTGGGTTTTTCGGGCTCTTTGGCCGTGTTCTGAAGGTTGTTCTTCCTAACATTTCGCCAGTCTCTGTGGCCGGCATGTTCAGAGGACAGCACTCTGTGGACCAGAGCACAAAGTGCTGTCCTCTGAAGATGCCGGCCACAGAGACTGGCGAAACGTTAGGAAGAACAACCTTCAGAACACGGCCAAAGAGCCTGAAAAACCCACAACAACCATTAGATCCCGGCCGTGAAAGCCTTCGCAAATACATTTTCTTAGGGTGCATTAGATGTGTCAGCTGATGAGACATAATAAAACCACAATGAACCACAGGAGCATAGATATTTATAAAAGGGTTCTAGGGTACATATACTTTAAAAAATTGATGAAACAGTTCACACCATAAAAAGTTAAATTATGCTTTCTTTCCTGTTCTGTTATTGTTTCTACAAAGCTCCTTTCTGTGTTTACTCACAAGTTTTGTTTTTTCCTAGTGATACAAAATAGAATCTTGGAATAGTTTGCTTTCTGCTTCCCAGTTCCCACTTCTATTCTACTTTTAAAATCAACTAAATAGGCAATATTAGCAGTCATAAGGAATGCTTTGAAAGGTGACCATGTTTTTATTAACAGTTGACTTGAGATTTATTGTTTTTTGTATGAATTAAAAGAGGGATTAGTAGTTGAGATAGACTGTACAAGAAAGTGAAGCTATGTAATTTAGGAACAGTTCAGTTAATGGCACAAAAATAATACTGGTTTTATTAGTGGATTATCCATTTATTTGTGGATTATCCAGATGTCTTAGAACAGGGGTCCCCAACCCCCGGGCCACAGACCAGATACAGTCCATGGCCTTGTAAGTACTGGGCCACCGGGACAGATGAGTGGCAAACTTGAGGTGAGCAGCGAGCGAAGCTCCACCTCCTGTCCACATGCTCATAATAGGTTCTAATGCTGATGATGATCTGACAGGAGGCGGAGCTTCACTCCCTGCTCCCCTCTTGCTGCTGCTTAGATCAGCTGTGCCTGTGGCATTGAGCTCCTATTAGGTTCTAAGCCGCTGCTGTTCTAACAGTAGGCGAAGCTTCAATTGCAGCTCACCTCCTGCTCGCCACTCATCTTTCCTGGCACAATACATGAAATGAATTAGATTCAAAACTATCCTCCAACAACCTACTACATAACAAGTACCCCCCCCCAGTCCTTGGGAGAATGGTTTTCAACCAAACCGGTGCCTGGTGTCAAAAAGTTTGGGGACCACTATCTTAGAAGGTAGCCCTTCCATATCTGAGAGACTAGGATATCATATTTGAATACATTTGCTAACAGAGTGTTTTCCACCCATTTCCAAACCAGTATTTCAGTTGAAACAGAGCTGTTAAAAAATCAAACTAAATTCTGAAAAAAAATGTTGAACTGTCTATTATATTGCTGTTGATAAATAATTCCAGTAGATTTCCTCTCTGTGCTTTTTTGTGAGCTTAAAGAAGTTTATAAAACTATTTTAGTCTTCTCTAGTTGCCCAACCGTAATTAGGTCTATGCAAGAATAGCCTTTCCATTTGAATGCCAGTCCTGATGAGTACTTCTTCCCTTTTCAGATCTAATCTATCATTAATGTTACATTTGCATCACCAGTTTTTCTACTCATTATGCTAAATCACTTTTGTGGAGACTATTTTTAGTCATGGCTTAGAGCTGTATTTTATTGCAGTGCTGATGTGAAAGTGCTTGTACAAGCATAATGTCAGTTTGTAGTTAGACCTAAATGTGAAGGCGAGAGTGATAAGAGTGCACAAGTTTGTATGTCACTGATTGCAATTAGGTGGAGGAACTTTACAGCCACTTGCTGGTCAAATCAGTGGCCAGGGTATTTGTTCCTCATCCGAAGCCTATACTGTGAAATTTATTATGAGTACTTTTCTCATAGAGAAAATAGTTGAAGAGATATTATGTAGCTCTTGTGTAAATTATAGATCCAGTTCATTTTAGGATTTAAAAAACAGAAGACTATAGAACCAAAACATTATAACTAAAAGTATTCCATTTTAACATTTGAAGGAACTGAGGTGTTCAAGGGAGGGAAAAATCTTGTTAAATTAATTGCAAATTCCACAAGCTCCTTCAAAAACATTTCTTCAGGTTGATTTTATTGCTTTCGCATGAATATTTTAAACATAATGTTGGGTTTTTCAAAAGTTAATTAGTGAAACTACATGAATACCAAGCATTTTAGAGAACATGGATTTGTTTCAAAGATATCCTATAGAATTCAAGGGTGATCATTTAGGGTAGGGGTTTCCAACCTTTTCCCCTGAGGGCCACACCAGATATTTTCAAGATCTTAGAGGGCAGAAGGAACAGGAATATACGCGCATATGTCCAAACGCACCCCCTGCACCCGCACCCCACACAGATGCCCACCCGCATCCCCCTGCACGCATTAACCCCTGCACACATGCATGGACAGACGCCTACCTGCATGCCCCCCACACAACCACCCTTTCTGCACACAGGGTTAAGGGAATGGGGTGGATAAAATGGCAAGGCAAGCCAGATGTGGCCCGCAAGCCATAGTTTGGAGACCCCTGATTTAGGGGAATTGAATAAATCTTATTATGGTGCTTTCTATCTTTTCCTGTACTCACAAACTGCATCTGTCTATTACATATCTAGTTTCCAATCTATTCTTTCATTCAGTTTCCTTAGTCGATGCCCTTTCCATTTGTGTTCTATCTTAATTTCAATACTTGAAATGGTATGTGGGGGCTAATAGTTTTTTTTAAAATTGCACAGAGGACAGGATATGAAAACATGAGATTAAGTAATTTGGTAAAAGTTGGATGGATTAGTGCCCAGAATTATTAGGTATAAGCATCTACTCTACTTGCTAGTCTCAACGAAAATAGACGCTCTGAACCAATGAAGTTTATATAACTGCTGATTTTCAGCAATTGAGTCAGTGGGTTTATTCCAGTTGGGGCCAACAATTAGATTTAGATCAAGACATTAAATGTCTAGACTGGCTTAGATGCTGGGTTGTTGTTCAACTTTAATGTAGTTAAGGACTGCTAGGCCTATTTAAATATTATAAAAAAACCACATGCTACAGCACACTGAGGACTACTCTATTTCTGGTTGTAAATTTTTGATTGTAGTAAGTCTCGTTACATAGAAAATATAAGATATCAGCGAGGAGGCTTGGTTAGACTAGAAGACTTTTTTTACCATTCTAGCTTCTGCAGGTGAGAGTAATTAGTACGCTGATCCAGTCCAAGTGTGCAGTTTCTCTTTGCACTGGTAGTAGTGTAGTCCACAGAGTGCCGTACCATCTGTCATTAATTTTCACTACAGTGCTTCAGATCACAATGTTCTGAACTGTAAAGTACAGTATTATTTTTTATTTAGTAGATGCCATGCACTTTTAGTCACGTCATATTATATGTGATCTGATACTGGATAAGATTTTTGCAAACTACTGAAACTTTGCTTTAAAATAACAAAATAACAAAGATTCTTGTATCAGCTTAGTGACCAACCAGTTTTATGTGGCATAAGCTGTCAATTACTTTAGTCCATTCCTTCAGCTGCATCTGACAAAGTGTGCTGCAGTTCATGAAAGCTGGCAATGAAACTAGCTAGTTTCTGCAGTGTGACAAGAATCTTTTGTTTTTGCTGCAACATGGCTGTCTCTCCTGTACTTTAAAAGTGCATGTACATCCACCTTAATTTATAGGCATTTAAAGAAATTCCTGTAAGTACTGCTATATTAGCTCAAGAATTTATTTTAAACATTGCAAAATGGAGTATTAGGGTATATGTGGATCTGTCCATCCTGAGCAGTGAATTGAGCTGTAATAAATAGCTTAAAAGAGTCTACATATATTACATTAGACCAGCTGAACCGAATTTTATATAAGCTTTATTCAAAAGCATCACATAGCAAGTAAACTTCAAAATTAAGTGTAGTTACAAATAGTTGTTTCTTATTTTTTTTTCCAGTCCCCTTTTGCTTTCTTTAACGACCACATGAAACTTGAGAAGCCATCTAAAGCTAAATCATTTAGTGGAGTTGGGCAGTTCCCAAGTGTCCAACAAGAAGGCCTGGTTTAGGCTGCGATGGCCACTGTCATTCCTGGTGATTTGTCAGAAGTAAGAGATACCCAGAAAGTCCCTTCAGGGAAACGTAAGCGTGCCGAATCCAAACCAAGAAAAAACTTTCCTTGCCAACTGTGTGACAAGGCCTTTAACAGTGTTGAGAAATTAAAGGTTCATTCATACTCTCACACAGGAGAGAGGCCCTACAAGTGCACACAACAAGACTGCACCAAGGCCTTTGTTTCTAAGTACAAATTACTAAGGTATTAAACTCTATTTACTTTTCAGATTATATTATCATTTGTTGGCCGTTTTAAGCTTTGTAAACATTTATATCTGTGTACAATTCAGCTGATTTTCAAGGAGGAAATGTTAGTTAATTTAGATATCAGATTGTAGCATTATAAGCAATTCATAGCTTTATAAATGACTGTCTTGAGTTTTTTGTTTGTGTTTTCAAAGAGGAGAGTTTAAGATTTTTCATTTGTATAAACTTGTTGCAAAAAGTGTATGGACTGAGCATTTTGGCTATGGAAATAACAAAGTATTCACATTAATAAAATATTATTAAAGTAATTTTAAAATCATCCAACTAAACTATCAGTTGAAATGAAATGACTTGTAATGTGTGGTTGCTATATTTAGTATGATACATGTTGTAGTGATATGTTTCTTGCAAAATATATTGCAGTGAAAAAACTAGCTTAGTATTTAGCTGCCTTTAAAATGTACACATATAATTTTTGATCAAAATAATTACTTACAGAATATATCTGTGTTTAAAGGCATATGGCTACTCATTCTCCAGAGAAAACCCACAAGTGTAATTATTGTGAGAAAATGTTTCATCGAAAAGATCACCTAAAGAATCACCTACATACACATAATCCCAATAAAGAAGCTTTTAAGTGTGAAGAATGTGGAAAGAACTACAACACGAAGCTTGGGTTTAAGCGTCACCTGGCTTTGCATGCTGCAACAAGTGGTGATCTCACCTGTAAAGTATGTTTGCAGACATTTGAAAGCACAGGGGTGTTGCTGGAGCACCTAAAAACTCATGCAGGCAAATCATCAGGTGGAGTGAAGGAGAAAAAACACCAGTGTGAACATTGTGATCGTCGGTTTTACACCCGAAAGGATGTCCGAAGACACATGGTTGTACACACTGGAAGGAAGGACTTCCTCTGTCAGTATTGCGCACAGAGATTTGGCCGGAAGGATCATCTAACACGGCATATGAAGAAAAGTCACAACCAAGAACTTTTGAAGGTCAAAACAGAGCCAATGGATCTTCTAGACCCATTTACCTGCAATGTTTCTGTGCCTATAAAGGATGAGCTGCTTCCAGTGATGTCTTTATCTTCCAGTGAACTGACATCAAAGCCATTTACAAACACTTTACAATTAAATCTCTACAACACACAAATTCAGTCCATGCAGAGCTCAACATCTGCACACCAAATGGTTGCCACATCATTACCTTTAGGAATGCCTTGTCCAATAGATATGGAATCTGTCCACCCTTCTCACCAGCTTTCTCTAAAATATCCACTCAGTTCTACCTCATACACAGTTTCTATGGCTGATAAAGAGCAACCATTGAAAGGGGAAATTGAAAGTTACTTAATGGAACTGCAAAGTGGTATGCCTTCTTCATCCCATGATTCTCAAGCGTCTTCATCTAAATTAGGATTAGATCCTCCAGGAGGTCCACTAGATGATGTGTCTGGGGATGTTTCCCTGTCCAAAAGTTCTGTATCTATTAGTGAACCTCTAAATACCCCATCACTGGACTTTTCTCAATTATTCAATTTTATACCAGTAAATGGACCTCCATTTAATCCTTCTGTTTCTGTGGGAAATCTTGGAATGAGTTACACACAAGAGGAAGCACATTCATCAATGACTCAGCTTCCTCCACAGGCACAAGATCCACAAGACCCTGGTAATGGTATAGGTCTTGGGTCTTTGCATTCATTGTCAGCAGCTTTCACAAGTAGTCTAAACACAACCACAACTCTACCACGTTTTCATCAAGCGTTTCAGTAGGATGAAAAAAATGGCCTTGTGACAAGTTTATTTTTAGAAATGCCTTAGATGACTTTAAGGTAGTGCCTACTATGTCATTTGTAAATCTACTTTTGTACAGTACCAGTCTCATTAAGCCAGTATGAAATGCAAATTAACTTTTAAAATATTTTGAATGTGTTCATTCACAGTTGTTTACTTCAGTTTTTAAAATAGTGTATGTATTCTTACTGCCAATAGACCCACACTTTAAAAAAATAGAGAGAGAGAAATACAGTACTATTCCCAAAATATTACTGTTTCAAAGCATTAAGGCCTGATAATTCTGTTTGTTGGTGAAAATTTAGCTATTTCACTACCTGTAAGGAGAGCAAAAGAATATCATTATGTAATAGGTTCTTTAAATTTCTATCTTTTTTATAACAGGAGAATAATTTGTGGCTTCTTTATGAAAATTTGAACATTTTTTTTACATGAAGACTTCTTGGAAGTTCTGAACATCTTGCCACTTTTCCTTAAACAGTTTCACAGAAGTAAAGAGGAACAGCCCTATCATTTAAGTGCAATTACAAATTAGTAAAATCTGGCAATAAAATATGCCTAATTGGCATGATTTGAAAGAGACAAAATTAGAGCTGAACTTGAAAGAGAAATAATGTAATAAAAGTTCTGTTCAGCTATTAACCTGGAAGTGTGCGATTGTGATGGGAGATCATCCCTGCTCTTGACTCAGTAGCCAGACTCATTTGCATATTCAGTGCAGAGGTCTGCATAGGCAATTGTAAGCATGTAAACTTAACATGCTTAGTGTTTCTGTGATCGGGGTTCCTACCTTACTAGAGTTCCTGATCATGGAAACATTGTAAGCACATTCAGCTGAAGATGTTTACAAGCTACCTCTGCTGACTGTCATGATAGGTATGTGAAGATCTGTGTGACTTATGGATGGAATGAGGACATGAGAAGAAGACTTACTTGCCTCCCTATGTCCCCACAACATAGTTAGCTCCACATGATTTCAGTTGTCATGCATGACTAGGGCTATACCTTTTTCAACTATTATACATACACCTTTTGAAGCTCTTTGAAAAGTGGGGTCAGGTCCAGCTATAGATTTCGTGTGTGGTCAGTTTGATTAGTGTGCAGTCAAAAATGAATGTAAATTTGCAAAGACATTTTCCGTATTTTCATGTGAGTAGAAGATCTCTTGAATAGTAATTTGTGGTGTGTCATGTCACCCTAAGCAACAACTTAGGTGGTAATCACACTTACCACACCTTGGGTATTTGGCTAGTGATTTTATTCAATGCCAAGAATTAATAACAGGACTCCTAGGAGTGAAGTAAAAGCATATTGCTTATGCCACTTTTACCTAATATACATGGGTATTTAGGAGAAGTATCAACAAAATGGCTACTCATGGTGTATGTCCAGTTGCTGTTCCTTTTCAAGACATCTTATAGTCTCTGTCCCTGAAAACCAAAAGAGGGAGAAAGTGATCTGCATGCAAAATATGGTCTTGATATAACTCGGTAATCTTCTGTTCATTATTTTAAGGAAGAATTTAAGAACACATAATCTGCAGTAACTGTATGAATGAATACATGGGTTTAAGTGGTTAAAATAAATATACTTCACAGGAACAAAAGTTGCTCCCATTGAGGAGCTTTGGCTCCCAATATTTGTATCATTAGTTTCTACTTTTTTATTGTAGGAACAATATGCAGGTGTGATTTACTATTTTATACGGATGTATTTAAATTTTATTAATGAATGGTAACTTTTTATAAATGTTTGTTCCAAAGGCATTAAAATAAGGATGTATTAATAAGGAAAATACCTTTTCAAAATTCTGCAAGCTGCTCCAATATGTTATGAGAATACTTTCTCAAAGTAGACTTTAGCTCTGCTGCAAGATTGCTTCCTTTAGTTTCTATGAAACAGATTTTTAAAATATATCTACAGTGGAATGATTTGTTCAATATTGCTTTACAGCCTTTAAGCACCATCCTTTTAAGGGGAAACAAAAACAGATCAGGAGAAAATTGGAAACATTACCAATCTACTTTTATGATCCAAATAGCAATATGTAAATAGAAATTTCCTCCTTTTTTAGCAGAAAGGATAGAAATGCCTCATCTCTTCAAAGGAGTCGTATAATTTGCTTTTTAACAAATGTTGAATAGCTTCAACACATCACAGAAGCCACACTTGAGAGTCTGGTCTCCTTTGTCACTTATCCCTTACTTACTCAAAGCAGACACCATCAAAAATTGTTTTAAAAGCATTTCACTTGTTTCAGACATAAGCTGAACTAGTTATAACCTTTCAGATTTTATCAAAAGCTTACCACTACATTGCTTATGGTATCTGACAGGTACAAAGCATGTTACAACAAAGTTATCTGTTTTCAGTGTTAGTTGCTGGTTAACATGATTTTTTTAAAAAAACTAGTTTTTCCAGTACTCCTTAATATAATAGAAGGCTCCATATTATTATGGCAGTTTCTTCAGGTTCTGAAATGAGATTAATTAGAAAGACAGGTGCATTTCAAATTAACCTCAGACAAGATATTGAACCTCATTCAGTTAGTACTTCAGTAGATAACTACACCTTGTGTGCACATCACTGAAGTAAGATGTATGGGTTAATGGAAGCAAAATGACAGTGTAGGCATTATTTACACATTAGTGCTTTCTGACTATCATTTAGGCAGAGACACAGTTGGGAACTTTAAAATGTCAATTTTAAAGTGTATTTTGTAGTTACCAGATTGATTCTTAAGAATGGAGTGTGGCGTGTGCTGGCTGATCATACACCACACTTACTGCAAGTTCTAAACTTCTGTTATGGATTTAAAAAATATTATATATATAATTTGCTTGTGTTTTATTAGTACTGAATTGTGGAATAGAGTGATTTATTCATTTGGCAGTAGAGGTTTTCAAAAACCATATACTGACTAAAACATGAGCCAGACCTGATTGCTTTATTAAGCTAATAATGAATGTTAAGAGTACATATTTTCAGGATCTTTTGCCTAGTGAGCTCTATATGTATTGTAGGCTGTTGTTGTGTGTGTGTTTTAAACTAAAGCGCGATCAACTTCTGTGTTACACATAATACAAGATATAGCACTTTCAAAAAGAAAACCTAAACCGTATAAAAGAGAATTTCTTATGCTTTCTATTATAAAATCTATTATAATTTTTCAAGTGCCATTAGATGACATATGTGGGCCTTTGATATAATGCTTTGGGTACAAAATGATAAACATTGTAACTTTTAACAGGTACAGCTTAAAGTGTTTTTATATCAATTTGCTATATTGCACAGAACCAGTGTGTCTTTTAATAAGGGTTTTACAGTAGATTCCTGGGTTCAATCTATGCCATCTTCTACTGCCATTTAATACCAGTCCAAAAACTGAATGGTCAAAAATAATTAAGTGTGTACTTAGATCTTACAAATGTCAGTCATATGTCCTCTAGTGCTAGTTAAGTCCCATACATTTCAGTGGGAAATACATGAGTGAAATTAGGCACAGGCATTCAACCTTACAGCTGAATCCTATATATGCTTACTTGGGTGATCCACTAAATTTGATGGAATTTACTTAGAAGTAAATGTGCTTAGGATTGCAACTTTCAGAATGTTTAATAAGCAGTACTCTGCAGTTACAATGTCCTGCCATAGCTATGCTGCTTCAGATTCAACATAGGGTTGATCCTGTGCCTGTATATAAAAAAGGATTAAGCTCTTAATTATTTGTCTCATACACTGGTTTAGCAGTTTAAAATGATGTGCCTCCTAGTACCCTGTTTCCCCTAAAATAAGATGTAACCTGAAAATAAGTCCTAGTATGATTTTTCAGGATGCTCGTAATATAAGCCCTACTCCAAAAATAAGCCCTAGTTAAGTGAAATCCCACCATTGTGCAGCAACCAGAAGAAGATGACATGACTGTATTTGAATAAACAGAGATTCTTGTACATGAAAAAAAAATCCCCTGAAAATAAGCCCTAATGCATTTTTGGAGCAAAAATTAATATAAGACCCTATCTTATTTTTGGGGAAACAGGGTACTAAAATCTATACATTATGCTTCATGAAGTACTCCTTGTACAGGTCCAGCTGCTTATTTACAGCCTGTTAGTATGCAGTAATAGCCACCTACTTGACATTACAGAGGAAGACAATTTAAAGTGATGTTGTGGTAATTAACAAGTGTGTTATAGTCCCTTAACCCTTACAAGGGTGGTAGTATGTTGAAAGGCCATGTCTTTTGATAAATATTTAACCCTAAAATTGACCCAGACCTATTGCTAACCGCATGCAATCATTTTACAGTATAAGCTTCAGTGGTACAGTTGAACCAGAATGAATGTTTATCTTCTCAGAAACACTCCTGCAAATATATTATAGTGGATCATGCTGCTAATATAACTTGGGATACAACTCCTCTCATGGTGCTACAGACCTCCCTGTCTCATTTAGACTGATGTATTTTTATCCATAGAGAAAGGCCTATACTAGATTTATAGATGTATGATATATTTTTATACTGTGACTTAATTTGTCATTAATGAATTTTGTACGCCACCATGTTTTCATATGCACTTGCAAAAGAAGATACTTGGACATGAAAATTTATACCCAAATAAACCCATTCTCAAAACTAGTAGATGAAAATGAAAGTGGGGCTTCAATATGATGTGAAGAACATGCATGTTCCTCAGTGCCCTTTCAAGTATTAACAAATGGGGAAAGAAGGATGACATCTGAACCTGACTTGGCTTGCTGAAATTATATTTTTAGATAGTAAGGAATGTTTTTGGTCTTGTGTGCAAAAATGTTTTAATGAAACAGAGTTTGAGTCAAAATAGAAAATGCATTCCAGACTGAATTTGTGTATTTCATTTAAAATTACTATCCTGTGATATGGGAAATTGTGTTGCTTATCATGTATATGTACTTTAAAATGTATTCACAAACTACTGTTGTATTTGTATAAAATATAGACAAAAGATTGCATATATATTTTTGTGTATAAGCTCTGTAAAATAGCTATCACATTGTGAAGCTGCAGCAGAAATTCATTTTAGACATTCATATCCAAAGAAACAGACTATTTATTGTCCACATACCCTGATAAAAATATAACTTGCTGCTATTAAACAATAGTGCTGCAGCTTCTTGTGGCCTACAGTGTTATATTTGCTGTACAAAAATATGTGAACTCCACAAAATATCAATAAAAACTACAGAATGGTTTTAGTTATGTACAAAATATGCCTGGAATTAAATATGGTGTGTATGTGTATGTGTGAATATGCAAAAGGCTACAGACTAGGTACCAGATACTAATACAGTATATATGAATACTTTTTCTGATATATGGGTAATAAATTGGCAACTATTTCAAGAAAAAGACTTAGTAAAATTAAAAGTTCCAAAATATTATTCATGCCGTCAGGTGTAAGGTATTGATTAAAATGATAAGTATGGTCTTCTGTATCAGTAACAGTTTTTTAAAAATATATACTTAGTACAGTGCTGAATGTAGCAATTGTCAGAGCCATGCCAAAGGTATTATTGTGAAGTTTTCATGAGTGTCAAAGTCATCCTTTCTTATAAGATAATATTGCCATGGAGCAATCAGAGTTTTTCTACAGGCCCTGTTCAGGAGACAAAACATGAGTACATTCATGACTAGAGATAGGGGGGTTTCATATGCACAGGTGTCCCCCCCGCACTCACCTGTCCACTGCTGCCGTGGCTGCACACTCCCTTCCAATCACTCCATAGCTCGCAGTCGACTAGCCACTCCTGGCAGAAGGAGAGAAGATGAGCCTCCCTGCAAGGCTGACTAGTGGCTAGTCAGTCACAAGCTCTGGAGCGATTGTAAGGGAGCATGGAGCCACGACAGCAGCAGATGGATGAGTGGACTGTCTGGTCCCAGGGGGCTGGACCCTCATTATGTCCACTTGTGTGTGGGTATTCATGACATAGCAGGATGCTTTAGCACTACCCCTCCGTTCCCAAACTTGTCATCTTTTGGACATGAAGGGTGACCATTCTAAAAGGGAGGACCTCTTATATCCACGCAAGCTCTTTATATCGAGGTTCTAGTCACGAGGAGAGTTCCTGCAGGTAGAAGAGGCTTCTCCTCCTTCGTGCTCAATAGAGGTATTCTCTATTCATGTGTTTCTGAGTACCAAAGTGCATTTTAAGACCTGAATAGAGCTCATAGTTACAGTCTGATAGGACTGTTGTTTATTGACTGTAGCATGAAAACATATGGAACCAAAAACAACCTCATGTGGCAAATGCTGCATGTGGATATCTAAAAAAAATTGGTTGCCTCATGATTTTATATCCTGCCCATCTGGTAAATTCTACCGCCTAGAGGTAGAATTTACCAGATGGGCAGGATATAAATCAAATAAATAAATAAATAAATAAATTCTTGGTATCTCTGCTCTCCTTTGCATCCTGGTCACTTAATGAATTAGTGTAATGCTGTGGGGTATGAGACAGAATGAAAGAAGTGGTGAATCTTTTGTCACTGCATTGATACTTGGAGACGACGGGACAGAGCTGAAATCCAGGGAGCACAGAAGAGACACAAGAAGAATTCTGCTAGCCCAAAGCACAGACCTATCAGATGCAGCATTCTATTTGCACAGTGGCCAACCAGATGGGAAGCTCATTATCAGGACATTTTATGAAGTGGCAGTTTCCTATTCGTGTTTCCTGACTCCTGAACTAAAGAAGTATACTGCTAGTATTAGCATTTATATAATCAAACTTTCTGTAATATTTGTTGAATTTATATTATGCTTATTTTACCATGAGCTAAAGCAATGTCCATTGCTCTCCCCAACTCTGTTATCAAACCCTGCACTGTAGGTCTGTCAGAAAGCAAATGAGTAGCCCAAGAACACACAGTGACTTTCATGACTGGTAGCCATTGATGGCTTTACACTCCACAGACTTTTCAAGCCATCCCTGCTGGTGAACTTAACTACACCTTGTGGTACTGCATTTCACAAAAAAATATTTCCATTTTTTCTATTCTGACTCTTAACACCAGTCAGCTGTAATGGATAAACCCAGTGTCTAATCTCATGACAGGTAAGAAATCACAAATTTTTCTCCCACCTTCAAAGTCTGGCATAAAGAGTTTGGAATCTTCCATTGACTAAATGTGATTTTAAAAAAATGGGAATTTGTTGGATGGAATAGGATAGAAGTGAACAATTGCCTTTAGACGTGGTTTTGCTATAGCTGTGCTGCATACTAGTGTGTGCCTCTGTGTATGATTCTTGCTATCCAAGCAAAAGGATGAAGTAGAAATGAACTTGTTTGAAAGGTTTCTTTTCAGACCCATTCTTTAAATAGGCCACATTGATGCCAAACAAAAAAACAAGGTTGCCCCCTTGTGTAGACAGATTGTATTAGGATTTTGTTAATATTAAGTGCACATCAAGGAGACATCTAGTGAGTTATGCTAAATATAAAGCAACATGTGGTGCTTATATGCTGCCCCATAGCACTTCAAGCACTTGCTGGGCGGTTTACAAGTTAATTATGCATTGCCCCCCTACACATTGCCCCCCCCCAGCAAACTGAGTACTCATTTTACTGACCTCAAAAGGATAGAAGGCTGAGTCAACCTTGAGCCAGCTACCTGGGATTGAACCCTGGGTCGTGAGCACAGTTTTGGCTGCAGTACAGCAGTTTAACCATAATATATCATCTGTATGTTTTTCAGTAGGACTTTTGAATACCATACATTAGGTTATAGTTTTTACAAAGTTTAGTAAAATTACACTGTTTTTCATGAAATGTATTAATTTTGATCTGGTCAATTTATCAACATACATAACCTATCCCAGAACTAGTTGAAAATCATTTGAGCCCATAAAAGTCAATCTCTACCCCGTCAGCTTCCACCAATTACTAGTTAATTAAAACTAATGATATTATCCTAACTATTTAATATAATAGCAAGATGTTAATAGTCAGGAAACAAATATCTAGCCTCTCATTCTGATACATAACTGTATTTTTAAAATTATGGGATTTATCATGGCCATAATGATGTCTGAAAGATGACTTATAGAAATACAGTATCCATTGTGGTGTAGCGGATAAAGTAATGGATCAGGAGTCAAGAATCCTGGGTTCAAATTCCCATGCAACTATGTAAATTCATTGGGACTGTGGAACTGGTAAAATTCCTTAAATACCTCATGTACCTTGAGAGCCCTATTAGGTCATTGTAAGTTGGTTCCAACTTGATGGCACATAACAACAAAAAAAGAAAGAAAGAAAGAAAACCTCTGTATAAACAGAATTCCACAACATAGGTAATGTACCTTGCATGACCCTGTCTTCTATTACCAACAAAAAGAACTCTGAAGTGGGATGCAGACAAAGTCCTAGGATGATTGTGGCCAGCAGGCTCATATAATAGCTATTTTTCAAATATGGTATACAAACATTTCGCCCGGAGATAAGTGGCTTGTGTCAAATCAGATACTGAACTGCATCTCTCAGCATCTCTCACCATTGATTATGTTGGGCAGTCCCCATAAAAATAGCCATCTAATATCTGAATGTGAAGTGAAGACCAATATAGATTAAATAAAATGAATAATGAAACCCAAAAAGGAGACCCAAAACAATCCTGTTTATATTTTTGACACACACCTGTGCATATAATGTCTTTCAGTAATCTAATAACAGGGCATGCATAACAGTATCTGGAAAACGCATTGTGTGGCAGCCAACCTGCGCAAAGGTATGCCTGGCCATACCCACTTGCTGTCCATCCAGGAGTAAATGGTGAACAAACTCAAGATCTAGAATATTCCT